CACTCTGCTCCCTCCTCTCCACTTTGGATTATTTAACAAAGCCAATTAAGAGCATTATAAAGTCACTTACAGTCTTTTCATTGGTGACTAATTAGATTATTTTGACATGTACATGGATTTGACCATAGTTAATCCATGGGTGATGGACATTTAACACTATATATTGTGACCTACGTAGTACAACTTTGAACTTTTACATATAGAATCTTGGAATTTTACAGCACAGAAAGAAGTCATTCAACCCATTGTGGAGTCCTGTAGCTCAGTGGTTGAGCACTCGCTTTGCAAGTGAGAGACCTGAGTTCAATTCCCGGCAGAGGGCGAAACCTCGGGCAAGTTTCCTTACTCCACACAGAGCCTAATAATAATCCCTCCAAAAACAGTAATAAATTGGTCATTTTCAATCCACGACTGTTTGTGGGACATTGCTGTGCGCAATTGGCTGCCGGGTTCGCCCACAAATATGCAGTTAATTCACTTTACAGTGTGTTCTGTGAAGCGCTTTGGGACGTCCTCCCGACGTGAAAAGCACTGTATCAAATGCAAGTATTATTATTATTATTATTATCATGCCTTGTGCTGGCTCTTTGAAAACTATGCAACTAGTCCCACTCCCTCACTCTTACCCCATAGCCCTGCAAATGTTTCCTTTTCAAGAACCTATCCAATTCCCTTTGAAAGCTGTTATCAAATCTGTTTGCACCACCCTTCCATCTCGTGCATTCCTGAACGTAACAACTATCCTCATCATCCCTCTGGTTCTTCTGCCAATTATCTTAATTCTGTGCGCTCTGGTTACTGACCCACCTGCCAGAGGAAACAGTTGCTCCCGATCTACACTATCAAAACACCCTCATAATTTTGAACACCTCTATTAAATGTACAGGAGCTCAGACACACCCTAACCCTAACCCTCAAGTTTCTCTGTTTTAAGGAGAATAATTCCAGCTCTCGAGTCTCCACACATAATTGTAGTCCCTCATCTCTAGTACATATCAAAATATTTAATTTTAATTCCAAAATATCATAGCTAAAAACATTTACACTGCAGTGTGCAATGTAGTTTGTGTTATATAATGTCAGGATTTTGCATTCAATCTAGGATGATGTTCCAAAGCATTGCTGATAAGAGTGCCACACATTGCTGAATGTGCATTAAACCGAAACCCTCTGGGTACCTATTCATCACATCGAGGCCCGACTATGCCAACTCCCTGCTTGTCGGCCTCCCCAACTCTTCCCTCCACAAGCTGCAGATCATCCAGAACTCTGCAGCCCGTGTCCTCTCCCGCACCAGGCTCCGTGGAGTCCTGTAGCTCAGTGGTTAGAGCACTCGCTTTGCAAGTGAGAGACCTGAGTTCAATTCCTGGCAGAGGGCGAAACCTTGGGCAAGTTTCCTTACTCCACACAGAGCCTAATAATAATTCCTCCAAAACCAATAATAAATTGGTCATTTTCAATCTACGACTGTTTGTGGGACATTGCTGTGCGCAATTGGCCGCCGCGTTCGCCCACAAATATACAGTCAATTCACTTTACAGTGTGTTCTGTGAAGCGCTTTGGGACGTCCTCCCGACATGAAAAGCGCTATATCAAATGCAAGGATTATTATTATTATTATTATCACCCCCACCCTCACCCGACTCCACTGGCTCCCCATCACACAGAGGATAGAGTTCAAAATTCTCATCCTGAACTTCAAGGCCCTCCACAGGCTTGCCCCCTCCTACCTCTCTAACCTGCAGACTGCTTATCAACCTGCCCGCTCCCTCCACTTGGTAGGCTATAGCTGCTCCACGTCCCTGGCCCACCCCACCATGGACAGTCAGGCCTTCAGTCTCTCTGCCTCCACCCTATGGAACTCCATCCCATATTCCCTTCGCCTCGCTCCCCCCCCTGTCTCCTTCAAGCCACGTCTCAAGACCCTCCTCTTCGATCATGCATTTGGTCACCCTCCTACCCTCCCTGGCCTCCACCCTCCCTGATCCCAACCCCCACCACCCTGCTTATGGACAAATACCTGAATGCCCAGCACCTTGGGACTTCCTCCCGACGTGAAAGCGCTGTACAAATATACACCATTTGAAAGGAGTTTCTCCCGATGTCGTAGCAAGCAATCCACCAGATAAAATTTGTCTTTCACTTCGTGGCTGTTTGTGTGACATTGCTATGAGCAATTGCTGCATCATTCATCCAAAAACACACATGTTCACTATACTTTGAGATGTCCTCCTGACATGAAGGAGTCCTGTAGCTCAGTGGTTAGAGCACTCGCCTCGCAAGTGAGAGTCCGGAGTTTGATTCCCAGCAGGGTGAAATATTGGGCAGGTTTCCTTACTCCATACATCTGTTTAACTAACAGTAAGTAGGAACCTGGTTGTTAATTGCTTTTTCAGGGATAATAATTCCTTCAAAAAAATAATAATTTGGTCACTTCAATTCCTGACTGCTTGTGGGACGCTGCTGTGCACAATTGGCTGCCTCGTTTCGCCCACAAATATACAGTCAATTCACTTTACATCTATGAAGCGCTTTCAGATGTCTCGAAGATGTGATAAGGCTCTATATCAAATGCAAGGATTATTATTATGAAACAACACAATTACATTTGCACAGCGCCTTTCATGTAGGGAGGTCGTCCCAAGGCGCTGAGCAGTCTGTGTTTCTGACCCAAGCTGGGGGTCAAGATCGGGGAGGGTGGAGGGCAGGGTGAAGGAGGGTGACCAAAGGTACGGTCGAAAAGGAGGGTCTTGAGATACCCAATTGAAGGAGGCAATGGAGGAGCGAGTCGGAGGGAATGCAGGATGGAGTTCCAGAGGGGGGCAGCGTGGCGGAAGGCCCACCCGCCAATAGTGGAGCAAGCAAGGCGGGGGAAGTGAAGCAGGCCGGAGCCCGCTGAGCGGAAGGCGTGAACAGGATGATATGGGTTAGGAGGAATGAAGAATGGCGGACCAGGCACGTAGGGCCGAATGGCCTACTCCTAATTCTTATGTTCTTATGTTCTTATGTCTCAGAGGTCGGGTGGAGCAAGACCATGGAGGGCTTTGAAAGTGAGGACCAGGATCTTGAACTGTATCCTCTGTGATGGGAAGCCAATGGAGTTAGGTGAAGATGGGGGTGATAGGGCCATGGAGCCCAGTGTGGGAGAGGACACGGGCTACAGAGTTCTGGATGATCTGCAGTCTGTGGAGGGAGGAGCTGGGGAGGCCGACAAGTAGGGAATTTGCATAGTTGAGCCTCGATGTTATGAAAGCGTGTGTGAGGGTCTCGGGGACCTGCGGTGTGAGACAGTGGTGGAGCCGGGCAATGTTGCTGTGACCAATTGCTGCAAATTCATCCAAGAAACACACCTTCACTATACTTTGAGATGTCCTCCTGACATGAAGGAGTCCTATAGCTCAGCAGTTAGAGCACTCGTTGTGAAGGTGGGTGAAGGCTATCAAGGACAATTGAGGGTTGAACAAGACCCCAAGGTTCGGGACTGGCTTAGCAAGGTGCAGTAAACAGCCATGGATGGTGATGCTGTCAGCACCTGAGGTGAGGAGGCGCTGACGAGAGCTAATCAGGAGCCTCGGTCTTGTTGACGTTCAACTGAAGAAAGTTTCCCCTCATCCAGGACTTGATGTCTGACAGACATTCTGTCAGCACAGCAATGAGGTCTGGAGTCAAGGGTGGGGGCAGAGAGAGAGTTGGGTGTCATCCACATACATGTGGAAGTTGACCCCATGTCTGTGGATGATGGCACCAAGAGGGAGTATATAGATGTTGAAGAGGACGGGACCAAGGACAGAGAGCCCTGAGGAACGCCACACAAGACGGTGAGGGGGCTAGAGGAGAAGATGTTTGTGGTGACAAAGTGGAGACGGTGAGAGAGATAGGATTCGAACCAGGCAAGGTCCGCAAAGATTGCGCTGAGAGGAAAGGCGGTGGAGGATAAAATGGTCGATAGTGTGAAAGGCAGTAGAGAGGTCAATGAGGACAAGTAGGCAGACAGAGCTTCGGTCACAGGTGGACAGAATATCGTTAGTGACTTTGACCAGGGATGTGGGCAGCACAGAAACCCCGATTGGAGGGGTTCATAGAGGGAATAGCAGGGGAGGAAGGAGCGAAGCTGGGACTCAATGACTCATTCCATGGCCTTGGAGAGGAAAGGGAGGTTGGAGATGGGGCAAGTAGCTGGAGAGTAGGGATGGGTCTGGAAGGTGTTTTGAGGATGGGGGTGATTATAATATAATAATAATCCTTGCATTTGATATAGTGCTTTTTCACGTCTTCTCGTCATCTCAAAGTGCTTCACAGAAAAGACTGTAAAGTGAATTGACTGTATATTTGTGGGCGAACGCGGCAGCCAATTGCGCACAGCAATGTCCCACAAACAGTCGTGGATTGAAAATGACCAATTCATTATTGTTGTGCTTTTGGAGGGATTATTATTAGGCTCTGTGTGGAGTAAGGAAACTTGCCTGAGGTTTGGCCCTCTGCCGGGAATTGAACTCAGGTCTCTCACTTGCAAAGCGAGTGCTCTAACCGCTGAGCTACAGGACTCCACAAGCTGATGACAGTTGTTTTTAGACCTTATATAAAATGTAAGGACTATTATTATTATATAAAGCACATCAAATACATTGAACAGGAACATGTCTGAAGTAAATGTCTGACACTGTAAAGGTCCTTGTGTCTGTTACTCCGGCACCTTTACCAGCTGAACGCAAATATATATTCTGTGAATTGCTTTGAGACGTCTCAAGACATGATAAGGGGCTATATATCAAATACAAGGATTATTATTATTTATTATTGTCCTGTGAGCTATGTGATGCTGTCACAACACGAGGGGAGGGGGAGAAGCCAACAGCAATCTGGTTGGGGACCACAACATATTGTGAAGTGATATGAGAGGTCATGGCAAAGAATGGCAACCTGACTGCTTATTCAAGAGAAATCTTTCAACGAAAAGGACTTACAAATTGTGCTGAATGTTGTGCAGTTTGCACACTTACCCACAACCTTTGGGAGCTTCTGACGGCCAATAGGGATTCTGGGTAGTTTGGTGCTGATGTGCGTAAACGTGCCCCTGATGTGTCTGCGGCGCAGCTTCCTCCTGATCACACCAGCCTGACCGCAACTAACAGGAGAAAAACACAGTGAACACAGAGACAGAGTGAAAGGCCATTCACCTCCTTCCACTGACAAACCTTGTCTGGGAAAATCTCCAGAGTTGTCACTATTGACGACGACAACAACTTGCATTTCTAGCGCCCTTCACACAGACAGCGTCTTGGAGCACTTACCAGTGACGGAGTGTGACATCGAGCTGGGGAGCAAGAGAAGGTGATCATAATAATCCTGTCATTTGATACAGCGCCTTATCACGTCTTCCAGACGTCTCAAAGTGCTTCACAGAGTATACTGTAAAGTGAAGTGACTGTATATTTTGTGGGCAAAACGCGTACAGCAGTGTCCCCACAAACAGTCGTGGATTGAGTGACCAAAATTTTTTTTAAATTTATTTTTGAAGGGATTGTTACCCCCGGAAAAGCAATTCACAAATCACTGAACAACCGGGTTCCTACTTACTGCTGGTAAACAGGGGCACGTGGAGTTAGGAAACTTGCCCATTGTTTCACCCTGACCCGGGAATCAAACCCAGGTCCTCTCACTTGCGAGGTGAGTGCTCTAACTACAGAACTCCATAGGCACGAAGAAGTGTCTTCAGATGCGATCTGAGTGAGCAGCTGAGTGAAGTGGGCAGGACAGGACACAGGACAATCCGATGCATACATACATCAACTCATGCCTCGATTTTCCCAATAAAATAATAATAATAATAATCCTGGCATTTGATATAGTCTATTCACGTCTTCTCGACGTCCCAAAGCGCTTCACAGAACACACTGTAAAGTGAATTGACTGTATATTTGTGGGCGAACGCGGCAGCCAATTGCGCACAGCAATGTCCCGCAAACAGTCATGGATTGAAAATGACCAATTTATTGTTGTTCTTGGTTTTGGAGGGATTATTATTGTTTGGAGGGTGTGTGGAGTAAGGAAACTTGCCCAAGGTTTCGCCCTCTGCCTGGAATTGAACCCAGGTGTCTCGCTTGCAAAGCGAGTGCTCTAACCACTGAGCTACAGGACTCCACATGCTCTACCACCAAGAAACTCCAACTGGGGGAGGGTGAGGGCTGGCGTCAGTGGGATGGGGGGGTCGGAGGGGCTGGGGAGGGTGGGGTGGTGGAAGAGTTGGGGGAAGGGGCTGAGGGAAGGAGTGGATGCTGTTTGGAACAACCCCAGTTAGTGAGAGTCTCAGTTGAAATGTTCATGTCACAAGATCTTTCTGTTTCTCTCACTGCAGAGAATGGGTTGAGATGTAAGTGCCTGTGCCTGTGCCTGGTTAGAACTTCATGTCCTACAGCTGGACACACTTTCAAACCCTGGAATGGTCGTGTTGCAGAAAAGCTGAGGATCTTCGCAGCTTCTGCACAGACAGAAAACCATAGGCAGTAAAGGAGGTAGCGTTCAGTTTGCTTTTGAAGACCGACGGGGGGGGAAGAGACGGTGAGAGACTGATAGAGTTACATTAGAATCCATTAGGATCTACAGCACAGAAACAGGCCGTTCAGCCCAACTGGTCTGTGCCGCTGTTGATGCTCCACATGAGCTTCCTCCTGCTCTTCCTCAACTTAGCCTTCAAGCAGAACCTTTGATTGCTTTCTCCCTCGTGTACCTTTCCAGCTTTCCCTAAAATACATCTAGAGCGGTGTGTCCTTACAATTAGAGCGGAAGAAAGCAATAAAGAGGGGAGCGAGGACAGTGTTGATGGAGGTTCAGAGTTGTATGTGGGGAAGGATGTAGGCGGCCAATGCTCCAGAGATGCTGTTTGGTTGAATTCTCGGCGCTGCTCGCTCATACCAACTGTTCTACAGCCAATGACATGGTGTGTAAACTCACTCAGTGTAAACCAGAACACACCGCCATTACACAGTGCAGAAGTGGCCGGGAATACTCAGCGGGTCAGGCAGCATCTATGGAGAAAGGAAAGTGAGTCAACGACGAGGCGTGGACCCGAAACCCTGACTCACTTTCCTTTCTCCATAGATGCTGCCTGACCTGATGAGTGTTTCCAGCGACTACAGCACAGGTTACTGCAGAGTAAAGCTCTGTCTTCACTCTCCCGCCGAGGTGCCTCTGCGCTGGTCACTCAGCGCTGGTCACTCAGCATACACTCACTTTGTGTCCAACGCTTTCTTCCGACACAGACAGAAACAGCACAGTAAGAGCAGGAGAAGCAGCAACGTGATCAGACAGCCGGCGGCCATCACCCCCACTCGCCCATTGGGACCTGCAGAGAGCAACATACACACAGCCACACAGCTGTAGGTACTGAGCACACACTCACTCTCTCTCACACTCACTCTCTCACTCTCACACCCTCACTCTCTCACCCTCACACTCTCTCACCCTCACACTCTCTCACTCTCTCACCCTCACACACTCACTCTCACACCCTCTCACTCTCACACCCTCACTCTCTCTCACACTCTCACTCTCTCTCACTCTCACACCCTCTCACTCTCACACTCTCTCACCCTCACACTCTCTCACTCTCTCACCCTCACACACTCACTCTCACACCCTCTCACTCTCACACCCTCACACCCTCTCACACTCACTCTCTCTCACACCCTCACACACTCTCACACTCTCACACCCTCTCACTCTCACACCCTCACTCTCTCACTTTCACATTCTCTCACACTCTCACACCCTCTCACTCTCACACCCTCACTCTCTCTCACTCTCACACTCTCTCATTCTCATCACTCACACTCTCTCACTCTCTCACACTGCCCCCCAGAGACTGACTTACCCAAGATGCAGGTGCCGGACACAGGATGGCAGTCGGGCTGGACACAGGGACAGGGTTGGGCACAGTTTGCTCCATAGTGTCCCACAGGACACGTCATGTTACAGCTGGAACAGGAGGACAGGACAGTGACAATCACACATAAAAACATCTCACTGACCCCTTGGTCCTCCTGCCCCCCGGCCCCCCAGGCCAGAGTCCACGGCCCCCCGGCCCTGGCACTCCAGCCCCAGGCCCCCCCAGGCCCTAGCCCCAGTGCTGAGAGTTTACAAAGTGCTTCAGCCACTATGTATACACATTTACTGCTTAATAATAATCCTGGCATTTGACCCGGCGACTTATCATGTCATTGAGGCGTCTCAAAGCGCTTCACACAATATACTGTAAAGTGTAGTGACTGTGTATTGTCACTGAAGACCCTCCAAGGCAAGCATATACTTCCTAAGATTGTCTGGTTAAAACCAATCCAAATAGCTTCCGCAATCAGGGGGTTCAATGGGGCTGGGGGCAGTGGGGCTGGGGGCAGTGGGGGCAGTGGGGTTGGGGGCAGTGGGGCTGGGGGCAGTGGGGGCAGTGGGGCTGGGGGCAGTGGGGCTGGGGGCAGTGGGGCAGTTGGGGCAGTGGGGCAGTGGGGCCAGTGGGGCTGGGGGGCAGTGGGGCAGTTGGGGCAGTGGGGCATGGGGCCAGTGGGGCTGGGGGCAGTGGGGCTGGGGGCAGTGGGGCTGGGGACAGTGGGGCTGGGGAGCAGTGGGGCTGGGGGGCAGTGGGGCTGGGGGCAGTGGGGCAGTGGGACTGGGGGCAGTGGGGCAGTTGGGGCAGTGGGGCCAGTGGGGCTGGGGGGCAGTTGGGCTGGGGGGCAGTGGGCCAGTGGGGTTGGGGGGCAGTGGGCCAGTGGGGTTGGGGGCAGTGGGGCAGTTGGGGCAGTGGGGCTGGGGGGCAGTGGGGCTGGGGGGCAGTGGGGCTGGGGGCCAGTGGGGCAGTGGGGCCAGTGGGGCTGGGGGCCAGTGGGGCTGGGGGGCAGTGGGGCAGTGGGGCCAGTGGGGTTGGGGGGCAGTGGGGCTGGGGGGCAGTGGGCCAGTGGGGTTGGGGGGCAGTGGGGCTGGGGGCCAGTGGGGCTGTGGGGCAGTGGGGCCAGTGGGGCTGGGGGGCAGTGGGGCTGGGGGGCAGTGGGCCAGTGGGGTTGGGGGGCAGTGGGCCAGTGGGGTTGGGGGGCAGTGGGGCAGTTGGGGCAGTGGGGCTGGGGGTAGTGGGCCAGTGGGGTTGGGGGGCAGTGGGGCAGTTGGGGCAGTGGGGCTGGGGGGTAGAGAGTCGAGAGCGGAGCTGAAGGTACGGTCAAAGAGAAAGGTCTTGAGACGGCCTTGAAGGGGGAAAGGGAGGAAGTGGCAAAGGCACTGGGGATGGAGTTCCAGAGCCTCGGGGCTGAGAGGCTGAAGGCCACCGATGGTCGGGCGGTTGGGGCGGGGGGTGTGGAGCAGACCGGAGCCAGAGGAACGGAGGGTACAGACAGGTAAGTATGGTCACCACAACCGCCCCCCGCCCCCCCCCCCGCCGCCCCGCTCACACTGTGAAACGCTCTGAGATGTGAGCCTGTGCGTGAAGGCCGCTATATAAATGCATGTTTGTTGTTGTTGGTGACTGACCAATTCCCTTCTGTCTTTCAAAAGCGCCTCAACCTCAACAAGCTCACACCTTGTTTGAAGGATAGCAAGTCCAGCAATACAACGCTCCCCACCACTGCTGAGACCATGAGAGCTATCTTGGGGGGGCGGCTTGGGGTGTGGGGGAGGGAGTTGGGTGTGTCTGGAGCTGAATTGGCTCCAAAGTGACAATGCTTGGCCATGAAATGTTGGAATTGAATCCATGCTCTGGCTGTCTTTGTTGTCTCATTCCTGAGCCAGGAAGGTCCACACCACTCCAGGGCACTGCTGGCTCATTGGCAGCATTTGGACAAGCACAACAAATATTGGGCAGGGAATTTTCCCACTTAGCTCCCATTAACCCTGCAAGCCAAAAACCTAACAGGTAGGGTGGTCCGAACTCAATAACCAGTGGGAAAGCTTGCCAGACAGCGTTCTATGGCAAGCTATGTGATTTTATCTGATTAAAATTCCAGCAGTACCTTGACGCACACTCTGGAACCCCAAGCCCTGGCTCTTGCCAACCTGCGTTCTCCAGGATTAGGTAAGCAGAGTACGAGCCTCTCGGGAGACTGCGAGTTTGATTACACAAATTTCCATATGTTGGAGTCATGCAGAGAATTCTGTCTGGTTTGAATACTCTTAAACACAGTGATGGGTTTGTGTATGTCAGACACCCAACTGAGCAAAACAAAACAAACTGCGAGTTCAAAGTCCCGTGGGGTTGAACCCACACAACCTTTTGATTCAGAGGCAAGTGTGAGCCCCACATCCACAAACTTCCGCAATCCGGAATACATGCACACACATAAACTCCAACACATTTCAAGCCGGTCGCTAAATGTTTTCCCGATTGGAAATGATGGATTCAGTGGGGAATGAAACACCATCAAACTGTCAGCAGCGCTATAACTATACACAAAGACTCAGTTATACTCAGAGTCCAGAAATCCCAACTTTCTGCTCACAAACAAAACTGAGAGGAAGTGATCAAACCCTCAGGACATCCCCCACTCCTGTAACAGCAGCGAACACTCATACACTGCCTGCCGCCCGGCGGGAAGGGCCGGCCGCCCGGCGGGAGGGGCCGGCCCCCGGCGGGAGGGGCCGGCGCCCGGCGGGAGGGGCCGGCGCCGCCGGCGGGAGGGGCCGGCCGCCCGGCGGGAGGGGCCGGCCGCCCGGCGGGAGGGGCCGGCCGCCCGGCGGGAGGGGCCGGCCGCCCGGCGGGAGGGGCCGGCCGCCCGGCGGGAGGGGCCGGCCGCCCGGCGGGAGGGGCCTGGTACTCAGTGGGAGGGGCCTGATGCTCAGTGGGAGGGGCCTGGTGCTCAGTGGGAGGGGCCTGGTGCTCAGTGGGAGGGGCCTGGTGCTCAGTGGGAGGTGCCTGATGCTCAGTGGGAGGGGCCTGATGCTCAGTGGGAGGGGCCTGATGCTCAGTGGGAGGGGCCTGATGCTCAGTGGGAGGGGCCTGATGCTCCTCACAGGGCCTGGAGCTCCGTAGGCAGCAAAATTCACAAAGGATGTCCTCTCTGGACAGTCAGGGCTCCAATTCTGAGGGAAGCAGCGAAAAGTGCTGATCTTTACACTTTAATATAGCCATCAGGTCAATATTACTATCAGGTCAATATAGCCGTCAGGTCAGTACAATAATAATAATAATAATAATCCTTGCATTTGATATAGCACTTTTCACATTTTCTCGACGTCCCAAAGCACTTCACAGAATACACTGTAAAGTGAATTGACTGTATATTTGTGGGCGAACGCGGCAGCCAATTGCGCACAGCAATGTCCCACAAACAGTCGTAGATTGAAAATGACCAATTTATTATTGGTTTTGGAGGGAATATTATTAGGCTCTGTGTGGAGTAAGGAAACTTGCCCAAGGTTTCGCCCTCTGCCTGGAATTGAACTCAGGTCTCTCACTTGCAAAGCGAGTGCTCTAACCACTGAGCTACAGGACCCCATATAGCCGTCAGGTCAATATAGCCATCAGGTGAACATGACCATCAGGTCAACAAAGCCGTGAGGTTAATATGACCATCTGCTTAATATAACCCATCCACTGTTAACTGGGCTACAGTACAGCAGCCAGTGGCCATGCTATATTGTGTCAATAACAACAACTTGCATTTATACAGCGCCCTCCTTCTGTGAATAACGCAGGGAGCCAGTAAGAGAGTGAGGGTGTAAGGGAGTGAGAGAATGAGCAAGTAAGGCAGTGAGAGAGTGAGTGAGTAAGGGAGTAAGAGAGTGAGAGAGTAAGAGATTGAGGCAGTGAGAGAGTGAGAGAGTGAGGCAGTGAGAGAATAGAAGCAGTGAGTGAGTGAGAGAGTGAGGGAGTGAGAGAGTGAGTGTGTGAGAGTGAGGGAGTGAGAGAGTGAGGCAGTGAGAGAGTGAGTGTGTGAGAGTGAGGCAGTGAGAGAGGCAGGGAGAGAGTGAGAGAGTGAGCGAGTGAGAGAGTGAGGCAGTGAGAGAGTGAGAGAGACAGTGAGACAGTGAGAGAGTGAGGGAGTGAGAGAGTGAGGGAGTGAGAGAGTGAGAGAGACAGTGAGAGAGTGAGGGAGTGAGAGAGTGAGGGGGTGAGAGAGTGAGAGAGTGAGGGAGTGAGAGAGTGAGGCAGTGAGAGAGTGAGAGAGACAGTGAGACAGTGAGAGAGTGAGGGAGTGAGGCAGTGAGAGAGTGAGGGAGTGAGAGAGTTAGAGAGACAGTGAGAGAGTGAGGCAGTGAGAGAGTGAGAGAGACAGTGAGACAGTGAGAGAGTGAGGGAGTGAGAGAGTGAGGGAGTGAGAGAGTGAGGGAGTGAGAGAGTGAGGCAGTGAGAGAGTGAGAGAGACAGTGAGACAGTGAGAGAGTGAGGGAGTGAGGCAGTGAGAGAGTGAGGGAGTGAGGGAGTGAGAGAGTTAGAGAGACAGTGAGAGAATGAGGGAGTGAGAGAGTGAGGCAGTGAGAGAGTGAGAGAGTGAGTGAGTGAGAGAGTGAGAGAGACAGTGAGAGAGTGAGGGAGTAAGAGAGCAGTGAGTGAGGGAGTGAGAGAGTGAGGAGAGAGAGAGTGAGAGAGGCAGTGAGAGAGTGAGAGAGTGAGGGAGTGAGAGAGTGAGGGTGACAGTGAGAGAGTGAGGGAGTGAGAGAGTGAGGCAGTGAGAGAGTGAAAGAGTGAGGGAGAGAGAGTGAGAGAGTGAGTGAGAGTGAGAGAGTGAGGCAGTGAGAGAGTGAGTGTGCGAGACTGAGGGAGTGAGAGCGGCAGTGAGAGAGTGAGGGAGTGAGAGTGAGGGAGTGAGAGAGTGAGAGAGGCAGTGAGAGAGTGAGAGTGAGGGAGTGAGAGAGTGAGGGAGTGAGAGAGTGAGAGAGTGAGGGAGAGAGTAAGAGAGTGAGAGAGTGAGGGAGTGAGAGCGAGAGAGAGGCAGTGAGAGCGAGAGAGAGGCAGTTGATAATAATAATCCTTGCATTTGATATAGAGCCTTATCACATCT